GAGACCAGCTTGAGCATGAACAAGACCCCCATCTCTAAAAATAGCTGGGTGTTGTGGCAGGCGCCTGTAATCCCAGCTACTTGAGAGGCTGAGGTAAGAGAATCGCTTGAGCCCAAGAGTCTGAGGTTGCTGTGAGCTATGATGCCATGGCACGCTCCCAGGGGCAACGAAGTCAGATTCTGTCTCAAAAAAAAAAATTTGCTTGTATTCTAGTTTTAAGAAATGCCTCAACTAAGCTTTTTGTTGTTGTTGTTAGAGACAGAGTCTCACTTTGTCTCCCTCAGTAGAATACCGTGGCATCACAGCTCACAGCAACCTCCAGCTCTTGGGCTTAGGCGATTCTCTTGTGTCAGCCTCCCAAGTAGTTGGGACTATAGGCACTCGCCGCAACACCCAGCTATTTTTTGTTGCAGTTTGGCTGGGGCCAGGTTTAAACCTGCCACCCTCAGTATATGGGGCCAGAGCCCTACCCACTGAGCCATAGCCACCGCCCCTACTTGAAAGCACTTTAAAAGACAAAATGTACTTTACCACGTAAGATGATGGTTGTGACAGGATTATTGTAGTCTTCAAGTCAGCCTTCCAAGTTTTATGCAAATACAAGAACATTGTTGTAGCATTCTCTCATGTTGAATCCCACTTGGTACTCACACCTTATTTATCAGTAAGATAGTTTCATTTTGTAACATCATTAACATGATTTCAATCCAGTGTAACTTCTCTGTGCTTTCCATGCCTTCATTTTAAAGCATCAACAAACACTTATTAATTAATTAATTATTTTCTTGTTTTGAGACAGAGTCTCACTTTGTCACCCTCAGTAGAGTGCGTGGTATCACAGCTTACAACAACTTCTAGCTCCTGGGCTTAGGCGATTCTCTTGCCTCAGCCTCCTAAGTAGCTAGGACTACAGTTTGGCCGGGGCTGGGTTCGAAACCACCACCCTTGGTATATCGGGCCATCATGCTACCCACTGAGCGACAAGCGCCACCTAACAAACAATTATTATTTAAATCATACATGTTGTGAATGGAAGTGAGTTAAGGAAAATCTTTCTTTTGGTGTGTGGCCCATAAACAACTTAGAAACTTAGAATCTCAAGGCTGAATAGTTTATCTTACTAATACTCAAATCAGTACTTGATTTCTCCAGTAAATGTTTTTTTTTCAACTGTCACTGCTAAAAACAGTTCTAATTATTGGCAAGTACTAAATTGAGGAATTTCATTGTCTACTTAGAGGAAATACTGGGTTTCACAAGTCAAATATTTTACTTGTGTAAAAATTGTGTGATAAATTTTTGTTATTAAAACTACTTACATCCAATTATAAGAAATCCATTTCTTATAACCTACTTTAAAAAGTTGTGAATTGGGGCAGGGCCTGTGGCTCAGTGAGTAGGGCGCCAGCCCCATGTACCAAGGGTGGCGGGTTCGAATCTGACCCTGGCCAAACTGCAACAACAACAACAAAAAATGGCCGGGCATTGTCGCAGACACCTGTAGTCCCAGCTACTTGGGAGGCTGAGGCAAGAGAATCACCTAAGCTCAAGAGCTGGAGGTTGCTGTGAGTTGTGACCATGACACTCTACCAAGGGCGGCAAAGTAAGACTGTCTCTAAATAAAAAAAAAGTTGTGAATTGACTTAGGATACTGTTTTACCACCTTAATAAATTTATCATCTTAAAATTTAAATTTAGATACAGCTATGTCTTCTACAGGCAAATATCCATAACAGATTTTAAGAAAATATATTCTGATAATTGCACAAGATATTTTTTTTCTCTTGTTACTTTTGAGTCTACAGTCATCTGCTAATGACTGTAAGAGCCAAGGCAAGCACTGAGAACCCCACTGTGTTGAATGTCCTGGTACCTTGTTTATCGTGACAAAAGGAAATAAAGATGACAAGGGTAGCAAACACACTAGCAGTAGTCTCTGCAAAGCCACCAAAGGCAAAGGTTCAATGTAATCTAATGCTAGATTTGCTCTAAGATATTAGGCTTTGTGACATTTTAATAACACTTTTTTTTTTCTTTTTTCCTTTCCTTTTTTTTGAGACAGTGTCATTCTATTGCCCAGGCTAGAGCGCTGTGGTGGCGTCAGCCTAGCTCACAGCAACCTCAAACTCCTGCGTTTAAGCACTCCTCCTGCCTCAGCCTCCTTAGTAGCTGAGACTACAGGTGCCCCACACACACACAACACCCAGCTAATTTTTCTGTTTTTAGTAGAAACATGGTCTTGGCTCTTGCTCAGGCTGGTCTCAAACTCCTGAGCTCAAAGGTATCCTCCAGCCTTGGCCTCCCAGAATGCAAGGATTATAGGCATGAGCCACAGCACCAAGCCAATAACAGCTTTTTTTAAAACTTTTTTAAAATTTTTTTATTTTTTAGAGACAGAGCCTCAGTTTATCACCCTCGGTACAGTGCCATGGCATCACAGTTCACAGCAACCTCCAGCTCTTGGGCTTAGGCGATTCTCTTGCCTCAGCCTCTGGAGTAGCTGGGACCATAGGTGCCCACCACAATGCCCAGCTATTTTTTCTGTTCTGGTTTGGCCAGGGCCAGGTTTGAACCCACCACCCTTGGTACATGGGGCTAGCACCCTACTCACTGAGCCACAGGTGACGCCCAGCTTTTTAAAAGCTTTTAAAAACTCTCTTCGAAAAATTACTTCTGGCCCTCTTTCTTCCTTAAAACCATCTTTTTGGCTGAGTGTGGTGGTTCATGCCTATAATCCTCACATTCTGGGTGGCTGAGGCTAGAGGATCACTTGAGCTCAGGAGTTCTAGACCAGCCTGAATAAGAGTGAGACCCATCTCTACTAAAACTAGAAAAATTAGCCATATATAATTCCAGCTACTCAGAAGGCTAAGGCAATACCATCATTTGAGCCCAGGAGCATCAGGTTACGGTGAACTATGATCATGCCACTGCACTCTAGCTAGGATGAAGGAACAAGCTTCTGTCTCAAAAATGAAGAAGCTGAAGCAGGAGGATCACCTGAGCCCAGTAGTTCCACACTGTAGTTTGTTATGATTGCACCTGTGAGTAGCCACCGTACTCTAGCTTGAGCGACACACCTAAACTCCATCTCTTAACAAAATTGAAGAGAGGGAGGGAGGTTCCTAATGCACCCAACTTACTAGAGCAAAACAAATACTTGGTTTTTTTTTTTTTATTTCTCCTGATTCTCTGCCATTTGTAATCTGCATTGTATCTCACCTTGTATAATATCCTAAATCTTATAGACTGTATATAATGATTTTTTTGTGAAGAAGAGGCCAGGGACAGTGGCTGACCTCTACAATACTAGCACTTAGCAAGGCAGAAGGATTACTTGAGACCAGGAGTTCAAAACCATCCTGCCAATAGCAAGATTCCATGTCTATAAAAAATTTAAATTAAAAAAATAGTTTTCTTGGGTGGTGCCTGTGGCTGAAGGAGTAGGGTGCCAGCCTCATATACCAGAGGCGGTGGGTTCAAACCTGGCCGTGGTCAAATACTGCAAAAAAAAAAAAAGAAAAAGGTTTTCTTAAAATGATACCTGCTGTTAATGCAATTTTAGGCACCATAGAAAAAATACATTACAACTGAAAAAAATTATCTCACTTAAAGTGAGAATAATTATTAAACTTAACAGTTATTTGATAACTAAGGGTCATCATAAATCAGGTCACATTAGTGAGGGTTGGTCACCTCCCTCTCTTCCAGGGTATATTAACACAGACCTGACCTTTGTACTGTTTCTATGTTTGATAACGTCTGCCATTATCAGAGAGACAACTGGAATCACTTTCTATCAAACACATTTTAAAACTGAGTGTGAGCGTGTGTGTTTTTGTGTGTTGGTTTATTTTCAAGCTACAAACAGTATTTTGAAATAGTCACTTTCATCCAAAGATTTCAAAAAGTCTAAGCACTATAATAACCATTGTTACGCTTTGTTAATGAGGTGACTATTGCTCTGTATACATTCTATGTGGATAGTCTAAGCAAAGGACTTAGGCAGAAGCCCAAATTTCTGGAAAGAAAGAGGACAACGTAGAAAATTATTTAAACATAAGACCTATGTAATGCCCTCTATTCAACATCTCATCAACTAATTCCCAAACCCTTTCCACTGTGATACCACTGTTTGGTATCACATAGAAAACTCATCAAATTTTAATTCGGGGTAGGGAGGGTCTAAAATTGGAGGAAACTCTGTGTCAGCGGTTCTCAACTGTGGGTCGCGACCCCTTTGTAACAAATACTTTGCGGCATTAGGAAGGTTGCAAACCACTACTCTAGGTCCTTGCTTCTGGAAGGTAATGCTGTGTATTCATTCCCTTATTAGACCAATGTCCAGGTTCAATTTTGAGGGAAGGTTACCTGATGGGGTGTCGCTGCAATCAGTGAAGTGCACAGATACGCATTCAATTTATTATTTATATGATCTACTTCAAGTGAATATTTTAGTTTTTTTTTAATATTTTAGTTTTGTTTTTTGATACATTATTCGCTGATAATTTAAGAATAAAAACACATTGTTTATGGTAGGATTGGAGCAACAGATGAAAATATGGTAATATCAGAAAGTAGTTCTAAAAATCTAAATATCAGGCCATTATTTAGAGTAGTTACATGAAATAATGTGAAAGGATATAAATCATTAGGTTCTGTGTGACCATACTATTGAAATAGTTGTGATGGCAGTACCCTCTACTCACCTGGGGTTCCAGCTGAGTAGGTAATTTATTTTTAGCTTTTATATAAGAGCAAATCATATATTAGCTTTCACATGCTAAAGAAAGCAGTCTGAATTCTTCCCTGGTTAATGCTGACATTAACTAGTTAATAGTGACAAACTGTATTAACTGAACATTGTATCCATATCTTGTATGACAAATATCTAAATTTTTATTAGTACCAAACTTTAGCCATATATTCTGTCATTGTTTGGAGGATAATAGTAATCCTAACTTAGAAGAATTTTAATGGAATCAATTTTTGATTTATAGGAATAGACTTTACAAATAATAAAAAGGAAGAATATGGTCCCGGGGTTCAAGGAAAAGAACATCCTGTTCATTTGGACCCTTCCGCTCCCGTGATGACCTTACCAGTTGCGTCACCACTGCTGCCATCCCCACCAGCAGCCATCAGTGCGACCACTGTTCCATCTGCTACTTCAATGACTTCAGCCGGGGCCGCCACCACGTCTTCTGTTCATGTTCCGGTGTCCCTACTTGTCACAGGACCTGCTACTACGGCTACTGTTATACCAGAAGAAATGGTTAGTGGGTTTATACAAGTGCCATGTCATAAGCAGGGCTCAAAACTGGTTTGCAAATTCGATATTTCGAATTCAAAATATATTTTCCCAGGGAGAAAAAAAAGCTATATAGTATTTAACCAAAACCACAGAAAATATTTAGTACTCAAATTGACTGAAATGTTACATTATAATGAAAAATAATAAAAAAGTGCTATCACAATAAAATTAAAGACCGTTTTTTCATTTTCAAAAATTATGTGAGAAAACTAGATTTAATTTGAGAGGGAGTTGATGACAGACTTTTTAAGTGTGAAGGAAACTAGTGGGAATTTTCAAGGGCTTAGGAGGTTAATGTATATTTAATTATATATTTTCTATCCAGCTAACAGCTTTCCCCTTCGCTGGCTGCAGATATGTCACTATCACTGCTCTGCAAAGACTTCATCTTGATTAGGTTTAAATTTTTAATTTATAACTGGGATGGAGATAGGAATAGTTTTTCCCAGAGTCACTGAGCTATTAGCAGAGAAGTGCCCAGAGGAGATTGTTGACCGGGGTTGGAGGATTTATGTGAGAACTTGCCATAAGTGAAATTAGTACATAAAAGAAGAGAGATTTGTGATCCAGGTCTAGTTCTCTTTCTTTTCATTTTAACCTCAGACCTTCCCGTGAACATTCAAAACTTTTAGGCCAGGTGCAATGGCTCACACCTGTAATCCTAGCATTCTGGAAGGACGAGGTGGGTGGATTGCTTGAGCTCACGAGTTCAAGACAAGCCTGAGCAAAAAGTGAGACCCTGTCTATACTAAAAATAGAAAAAACTGAGGCAAGAGGATAGTTTGAGCCCAAGAGTTGGAGGTTGCTGGGCGCTACGATGATGCCATGGCACTCTACCCAAGGCTACAGCTTGAGACTCTAACTCAAAAAAAAAAAAAATTTTTTTGAAACCTTTTTCCAATGTTTCTTAGTATTTCCAACAGCTAGAAGGAAGTGTGTGCAGAAAATTAGCAAGCACATAACTGGAGAAAGGATTGCTATGCTAATTAAATAACATTTTCACATGTAAAATCATTTTCTTTAATACAAATATCCTCAGTATGTTAAAGAAATATCAGAATTTCATGCTATAAAACATTTTTCAAAAAAGGCAGTTATGCAAGCAAACGTTGCAGTTCACAAGGCTGAACAATAGTTGGCATTTTACTCTCCTTCTGACTCCCGTTGGAATAATTGAGGGGAAATGTTTCTAGCTAGATTTTAAAGCAATTTAGTAAAGTTTCTCTTCTAACTTTCCTCTTCATCTAAATGGAAAGTGAAAGGGTATCATTAGGAAGGTGGTTCTGCTTTCCCCATTTGGTAAGTGAGGAAATTGAGGCTGAGGGAGAGTAACTTGCCTATGGACACAATTACTAACCATTAGAGTTGGAATTAAGGCTTTGACAATCTAACTTGACCTCTGCACTCTTAACCAATCAGTATTATCTCTCTGTCAAATATTAATATGTAAATATTGTTTTTTAAATGTCTGTTTTTCCTATTCCTTTTGATGTTGTTCCTTAGGTTGATATGGTTTAAAATATTAGAATTTTCATTTTTATAGCATTTTTTTAAAGTTAGGTAAGCTGATAAATTTAATGAACTCCAAGATGGTTGGTATGAGTAAGTGGTCATTTAATCAAAAAAGCTAAAGCAGGGAATGATTTTTTTAAATGATGTATACATACCTCACAAATTATGTTATCCTGAAACATAAATAAGTATTAATTTGCTTGTCTTTAATGTGGAGCCAAACTGAGTATGGGTCCACAAATTTTAATTAAGTCATCTTTTTAATATAAACCACAGTCATTGTATTTTCTGTCTTTTACAATTTTAGTTTCTATAAAGCATGAACCTGACAAAACTTGCAAAGCAATCTGATTATAGAATCCTCCTAGGTCTTTTTTTCCCTCCATGGGATTCAGCAGCAATTTTTTCTAATAACTGATCTTTATAAATTCTTTCTAAAATGTCCTTACATATTTGCAGAACAACTTTTTTCATCAGTTTATGCAACTTTTAATTACATAGGTATTATTAACAAGTACAAATGATAATTTGAAAATAAGCATCTGATTCTTGGTAAACGTGTTATTTAAGACAACTTTTGTTTAATTCAAATAAGTATATAGAGGTTTCTTCTAAAAGTATCTTTACTGCATTATGTATTTTCGTCTTATTGAAGGCATTCTAAAGCAATTCTCAACTAGGTTGAATGAAGCTTATTGTCTATGGGTATTTTTCCAACTACCTTAGTTCTTTTTTAAATCCAAACCTCTCTAGTTTTTTATGCATTCCTTCACACTCTAGGTGTGACTAAAGCTACTGGAGAAGGTGTTTACATCCCTCAAGTGTGACTGGGCAGGAATAAAGGAAAAACTCCACTGTACTCCAGTGTTCAATTCTTGTCAAAGAACTTTCTTACCAGCAATTAATTTTGTATTTTAAAGTAGCATTTAAGAGTCTTCAGCAATTTATAAAATCAAATTTGTACCTCATTTTAATAAGAAATAGGGTAAAGTTTCCCTAAGGTCAGAAGCATGACTTTAGTCCACAAAACATACTTGTAAATATTTTAAAATGTGACATTTGGTTTCTCTAATTCATAAGATCCATAAAAATTCATGTAATAATTTCTATAAGGATTGTCATGAGAGACAGTCCTCTAAATCCTCTCCCTGAATTCTGCTGTTTCTTTTGCTTTCCATTTTTTTCTAAATAATATGCTCATATTGTTATTTCTAACAATATGTTTATTAATCTGTTTATTAATTTCAAACATTTCTTTTTTTTTTTTTTTTTTTTTTTTTGAGACAGAGCCTCAAGCTGTCCCCCTGGGTAGAGTGCCGTGGCATTACAGCTCACAGCAACCTCCAACTCCTGGGCTCAAGCGAGTCTCCTGCCTCCGCCTCCCAAGTAGCTGGGACCACAGGCGCCCGCCACAACGCCCGGCTATTTTTTGGTTGCAGCCGTCATTGTTGTTTGGCGGGTCCAGGCTGGGGATTCGAACCCGCCACCTTAGGTGTACGTGGCTGGCGCCTTAGCCGGTTGAGCTATAGGCGCCGAGCCAATTTCAAACATTTCTGATGACCTATTCTGGATGAAAGGATTTGGCTTTCTTATACCACTTTATTCTCTCCTTTTTCTTTTCCTCCCCTATCCTTCCTATCTATAAATATTTAGATGTAGATATTCCCATTTTAGATTAAACCAATATTTATGGTGACTGTGTAAATATAGCCAAGCCATGAATATATACTGTGACTACATTCCCATTCTAGTACAAGTTTTTGTTCCTAGATTTAATTGCTTCATTTTTGTTTGCTTGATTTTCTGTGCAGCTCGAATGAATTCTTTCCTAACTCTCCAAAGAATTACACACCCTGGGAAGCGCCTGGTGTAGGAGTAGGGTGCCAGCCCCATATACCGGAGGTGGTGGGTTCAAACCCAGCTCAGGCCAAAAAAACTGAAAAAAAAAAAAAAAAAAAAAGAATTAAACACCCCCAGTGAATGGTCTTTTCCATAGGGTCTTCCAGAGCATCAATATTCTATAATTTAATTTTCTCAGAGCCATCCCCAAGTCCACTCTCTTCCCATTTCATTATAAACTGTGACTATCTATAGCTAGATGTAGATGTATGAAGAACCACGGATGGACAATGGGAAAAAAGATCAATACTTAATAAAAAGCCTTTTGGAAAAAACTATTGAGAGGGAAAATGAATTTAGATTAATACTTCACACAGAAATTTCAAATGTTGTAATAAGCTAAACCAAAATAAGTAAATGTTAAGAGTAAAATTACCTCAGCTCTTCAAAGCAGATTGTTCCAGCTTAATTATGGAAGTAAGAAGAAATCAATAGCAGGATTAATTGTAATTTTTAAAATGTACATGGAAAATTGAAATAAAAGATGAAAAAAAGGGGGCGGCGCCCATAGCTCAGTGGGTAGGGTGCCAGCCACATACACCAAGGCTAACGGGTTCAAACCTAGCCAAGGCAGACCCCCATCCAAAAAAAGGAAACAACAACAAAATAGCTGGGCGTTGTGGTGGGCACCTGTAGTCCTAGCTACTTGGGAGGCTGAAGCAAAAGAATCGCCTCAGCCCAGGAGTTAGAGGTTGCTGTGAGCTGTGACATTACAGCACTCTACAGAGGGCTTTAAGTGAAACTCTGTCTCTACAAATTAAATAAATAAATAAATTTAATGCCTATACATGGATAGAACAGAATGCAAATATAAAACATTCATAAGGAACCACAAATTAAATCAAATAGTACGTTTGCCTCAGACTTAAACGAGTAGCTATGTAATTGATTGGCAGTGAAAGAAATTCATACACTTATGCATTATTCCTGATAAAAATGTAATTTTTCTGGAATACTGTTCAGCAGTAAGGAACAAAAGCTGTAAAACTGACAGTACTATTTGATATGGTCATCCTGATTTTTACAATATATTCTACAGAAATAACTCAATAAAGATCATTTTCAACAAAAATATGTGCTATATGTAACAGGAAAAGAACTTAGAAAATTAGACAAACTTGTTTATTAGTATAAAAACATCTCTTTTAAAACTATATAGGTCTCTATTACTTTATGAGACATTAATAAATAGTAAGAAAAAAAGGCAAAACACAAAAATGTATGTGTATTATTAATTATGCCTAAGGATCAAAATTCATAAAACAGGTTAATGGTTGCCAGGGATTAAGAATGATTGGAGGGAGGAAAGGAGATAGGTATGACTGTCCAAGGTAGCATCTTGTACCTTGATTGAGTGATAGTTACAGGAATCTATACAGGTAATAAAATGACAAGATCTGTATGCAGATATTATATCAACGCAAGCTTCCTGGTTTGATATTAAGGTAACATTATGTAAAGTGGGATCATTGTAGGAAACCAGGTGAAGAGTACACAGACTTCCCAATATGGTTTTGCATTTTCCTGTGAATGTATCATTATGTCAAAATAAAAAGTCTTTTTTAAGTTTCTAAAACTTTATAAATAGTTGGCATACCAGAGTTAAAGGGGTGTTTTGGAGTAGTTTTATGCTTTATTTTTTTGTCTCATAATTTTAACTTTTATGATTACCATGTTAAAATTGGTTGACTATAGAAGTATTTTAAGTGCCTGTGTATCATCTTCATGTTTTAGAACCAAAAGTAACATATATTTTGCTATGGATTTCTGGCCACCTGAATATTTCTTTGTTTTTATTTTTGTATTTTTTAGTATGTGCCAAGAGTTGTAACTTCTGCACAGCAGAAAGCTGGAAGAACAATCACAGCCCGGATCACGGGGAGATGTGATTTTGCTACAAAAAATAGAATTAGTAGCGGTTTAGCTATAATGGGAGTTTCGCCTCCCATGAGCTCGGTTGTTGTGGAAAAACACCATCCAGTCACCGTGGTGAGTCCGTGTTTGATGACCTTTTGGCAAAAAATCTTTTTCCTGAGAGTTCGTAGACTAATAAACACTTAAATGACATGTTCAGAAGATAAAAATTCACGGTAACTAGTACTTGTTCCACCTTTTCCTGTTATGGTTTTAAATGCTTGTAAACCGGCTTTAAATCTACCTGTAGATTGAGATTACTTCTGTGAGGAAATTTATTTCAGAAACATTTCTTCCAAATAGTGCAAAATTAATGATTTTTCAATTTAAAAAGAAAAAACCACTCATTAACCAGCTATTCGTGTAGCAGATATTTGAATATAAGAAAATCTACCTACATCTACAGTTTTTAATTTGGGTTTTTGTGGGGGTTTGTTTGTTTGTTTGTTTGTTTGTTTTGTTTTTGAGACAAAGTCTCACTTAGTTACCCTTGGTAGAGTGCCACGGTGTCTTAGCTCACAGCAACTCTTGGGTTCAAGTGATCCTCTTGCCTCAGTCTCCCTCCTAAGTAGCTGGGACTGCAGGTGCCTGCCACAACTCCTGGCTATTTTTTAGAGATGGGATCTCGCTCTGGCTCAGGCTGGTCTCGAACCTGTGAGCTCAGGCAATCCACCCACCTCAGCCTCCTAAGTGCTGGGATTACAAGCGTGAGCCATGGCACCCGGCCCATTTGGGGTTATTTTTTAAAAGGTCTTCTTCACTGTACCCATGATTGCATTAATGTACACAGTTATGCTATAAGAAATTTAAAAAGGGGGGGGAAATAAATAAAAGGTCTTCTTCCCCCTTTTATGACACAATTGTGAATATATTTTTAGATTAAAAATAATTCAGGTTATAATAAATTCATGTGATACAAAGGAAGGTGCATTGAGTTGAAAGCAAAAACATAAAAACCTAAGGTTAGTGCCTCACCTTTGCTCCTTACCGCCTTTGTGACATATACAAATCAAGTAAAATACTTAAGCCTCCGTTTTCTCTTCTATAAAATAGGATTTTATCTCCCAGGCTTACTGTCACAATTCAGGGTTAAATGAGATAATGTGAAAATTAAATTAAATGAGCTACATAAAGGCACTTTGTAAGACCATGAGCAACTTTAACTTCAAAAGGTTACTAGATAAGAATGCTATAAAAGGTTACCAGAAAAGGATATCTCTATAATATTTCTTATAACAGCATGTGAATCAACAATTATCTCAAAAAGTATAATTTTAAAGCGTTAAAAGGATATATATCCCTAAAGAGAAACATGGATTGATTTTAAAAGAGAATACCCTCTACATAAACATTAGACAATGTTCCTGTCTACTTACTATGTCAAAGTAGTAACAATAAAGTATATGGAATGAGTGTAGCCTTCCCCACCCCCCCCACCCCACTAAATAGCTGGTTACTAGATAATAAACTCAAGAGGAGCAGAATTGATTTAAATTGAGGTATGGCCTTAGTGAAGTGGAAGACTGGAGACGTAGAGGGTTTTTTTAGGATTATCTTAGATTTCATATATGTGGACAGATTCTGAAAGTCCATAGATGACTTCTCTACATGTTTTTCAATATGGAGGATTAAAAATGAGAAGAAATGAACCCATTTCTACTTTTATCAGCACATAGAGTGTGGTTATAAAGAGATATAGATTGTCCATTTGTGACATAAAAAATCATAAAGACAGCACATGTGTTTATTTTTAATTTAGACAAAACTTTTGTTTTTATCACCATAGGTGTTCATATTTTGTAGAGGAAGAAATTAAAGAAGTAAACAATTAACCCTTGTTTCTAATATTTATCTCCCAAACTGCCCTCCATTTACTCAGAGTATGTAGTTCTTCCCCAGTAACTGGATGTGAACTAGATAGCTATAAACTGCTTCTAGTATTACCTAATATGGGTTATGTGACGGACCCAAGGGCAGCATTCTGTACTGTGTTTTGTTTTATCCCAGGAATCAAGATCTAGAACTACCAGAAACGGTTATTACTAGTAAACCCAGGATCAGATTTGTGACACCTTAGTGACACCGTAGCACCATCTGCTGGAAAGCCGCTTGGTCCTCATGCTACTTCATTCTCTGCGTTATTTTTTATATCATTGTACCAATGACGGCTTTATTTCTAAAATTCCTCTTGCCTGCCCTGTCCCAGTGGAAATAGCTCTTTTGGTAGAGTCAAATTCGGTGGTTGGCAACAAAATTTCATTCCCGTTGCAAGAATATCTTCCATTTGTAATGGTGATCCAGTTTTTTTTACACAAAGAAACATTTATGTAAGATAGATTAAGAAAAGAGATTATTTTTCTATTTATTTAAAAAGGAGTTCTGTTCTTTTTAAGGCAGAATCTGGCATGAAGACCTTTTCTTTCTAAAAGGTTCATTTTTAAAAGCAAAAATTGCATCTCAGAGTTTTTTAAATGCATAGTGAATGTTTTGGCCAAATATCTGTAAGTTTACTTCAGATATTTTAAAGATGACTTTTCTAAGTGGAAGAGTCTAATAGAAATCTACATGTGCTAGTCAGTGACATGGACTGAGAACTTGACCTTGATAACAAATCCCAAATTTGTTGCTGCCCACTAAGAAGCGTTGTAGGTATAATAGAGGAAAGCCTGAACTAACTTGCATTATTCATATGCCTACATGAAGTATGTACTTGTATACATAGTGCGTACACAGTTGTATGCATTAGACTGAGTCACGTATGCCCTGACTTCAATACTCACGTCCGAGATGTTCCCTTTGAGCCCCAAGGTAGTGACAGAAAGGCTTAGTTGGCTCCCAGGTGGAACTTGAGGGCTCTGCTTTACTCTGGTTTGAAGCGAGGACTAGACCAGTATCCCTCAGGCTTCCCTGTGTCCCCTGGGATTGGATTCCATGTATTAGCAGTCAAAGAGGAAGAAACTAGATGGTATGAGGGGATGGCTTGGAGCTAATCATGCTTCCAGAGTTCCTTTCCATACGTACCTTCCATACACATCCCAAGATTCCACTTGATTCCTCTTTGAGGAATGACACCCATGGTTCTTTGTATGATCCTCTGGGGTATAGCCCTGATCTTAAATTCTGAGTATTGAACACATCAAACAGGGTATGGGTTTCTTGCAGAGAAGGGCCTTCATTGTTGCTCTGTACTGAATGCTTAATAAATGTTTGTTTTAAATTATAGACGAAGAAATGATGCTTAATATATAACTTTGTAGGATTATTAAATATTTTTATCTTTTCAGCAAACCCTTCCTCAAGCAACTGCAGCAAAATATCCCCGGACCATTCATCCTGAAAGTAATCCCTCAGCTTCCAGATCCGTGGGAACAAGATCAGCGCACACTCCGTCTCTCACAAGCGTTCAGTCCATAAAAGTGGTTGACTAAAGTGAATACGTTCATGGTGAGGTCTTCTCATTCCTCTGCTTCTAACCGAGAGCTGGAAGTCTTTAGTTTATACCTTCTCCATATTCTTAGGATATCATGGATACATGAAGTTCATCTTTCCAAAACTCCAGGAGATTTTTTTTCAAGCTCTACCATCTTTTGTAACTATATGTAGAAATTATTTTAATGTTATTTTTTATTTAAGGAATTAAGTAAAACTTTTTTAACTTAAAGAGAAACTGGACTTTATTTCATATGTTTTAGCCTGTCACTGATTGTATCATCAAAGTATATGGGTTTTTTTTCCCCTATATTCTTTCTAAAAGAGTGAATCATTTCCAATTTACAGGAGAGACGGTTTATGTAGAACTTTGAGATGAACCTTTAGAATTAGTAGAAAATGAGATATTTTTATTTTTAAATGCAAAAGTTAATAGTAATGTTTTTATCATAAAGTTATTTGTGGCTTTAGTGTATTAGTCTTCATTCTTCTAGAACTCTAACAGTTGAAAATGGATGGAAATAGCAATACCTATGAATTACTTTTTAGTGCTAAAAGCAAAAAAGAAAAAAAAATTTACTACTAGCCGAGAGTTACAGAAATATCAAAAACAAACTTCCTGTTCGAATGATCCTGCTTCTGGTGCTTTCTCGCCTTATTTGAGACTAGGGCATAAAATCCACATTGTTCTCTCTGAAAATCCAAATCCCCCCCACCCCCCGTGATGGTGTAGCCTGCTCAACGGCTGGCCAGTACAGCGAAACCGACTGTGCAGAACTGATTTAGGAGAATTAGACCTGTCTTCTAATGGGCTTTTTTTTTTTTTCCTGACTTTGTTACCTTGGGCCAGACACTTAATTTAAATGACTCTCAGGATCCTCATCTGTGAAATAAGACTAAAATGTGCCAACCCTACCTATTTCACAAAGTATGGGGTACATAAAATGAATGGGTTTTGAAGAAACTCAATTTCCATGTCTTTAACAGAAATGAATAACCCGAATCCTGTTCCAATTTGAACATGCTCTAGTTCTAATTTATTTTAGCAAATGGTTTTGCTTGCTGCCTCACCTTGTTTACGGGACATCAGAGAATAAATGTGATCCAGGCAAATACAATCCCATTTTCTAACAGGGCACACTGAGGCCTTCCTGGATTCTAGATGTCTGAGGCTATTTCTTAGAATACTAGATACATAAGCAGCACTGTTCTGAGTTCTGGCCCAGTTACCATCATGATACCCAGCTCCATTCTACAGGGGCTACAGTGTTTTCATGAGCACAAACCAACAGCACCTTACCTTTTCTGTGTGCTCCTTCCCGAGACCTCTCGACTCCCAGAGTCAGGAGGGACCGCAGGGTCCAGGTAGAGCTGACTCAAGCAACCCTGAGTTAACACCCCGTTCTTGTAAACAGAGCCAGTTCTTCCTTCCTTCTCCCTTGTAGGCATTGCCCCGAGACACGTGGGTCCATCATGTCTCTCACAAGAGAGTACTCCCATCAAACAGGTGTGCTTGTACCAAGTGGTGGCCAGTTTGGTGATGCACTTCATCCTGGTCTCCCTCCTGTTTGCTCCCCTTTTCCTCCATTCCTGCTTCCCTGGATTTATGCCTCTCAGAAAAGTGCTTCCACATAAACTTGGACCCTCAGCTCTACTTTTTGAGGAATCTAGACTACAACTAGGAATCGTTTTTGCTATCTAAGCCAAAACCATATGGAAAAACTAAAGTGAATATTGTGAACATGCAATTAAGAATAAACAGTTCAGCTACTCAGAAGGCTGAAGCGGAAGGTTTGCCAGAGCCCAGAAGTTCAAATCCAAACGATGGAACAAAACTTTGTCTCAAAAGAAAAATCTTACAAGCCAGGCATGGGGCTCACACCTGTAAGGGAGGCCGAGGCAAACAGATCACCTGAGCTCACTAATTCGAGACCAGCCTGAGATAGAGCAAGAAAGACCCTGTCTCTAAATTAAAAACAGCCAGGCATTATGGTGGGTGCTTGTAGTCCCAGCTGCTCAGGAGGCTGAAGCAAGAGAACTTCATGAGCCCACGAGTGTGATGTTGCTGTGAGCTATGATGTCACAGCACTCTACCGAGGGCCACAAAGTGGGACTCTGTCTCAAAAATAAATAAATAAAAAATAAAAATCTTACAGCATAGGTGTAAGAAAATATATAGAGGGTGCCAAAAATATGTACACACACATTTTAAGAAAAGAAACAACTGTATTAAATTTGTAATACTAAAGTTGCATTTAACTCATGCCATTACAAAGGTGCTCCATCTGACTTGTATCCATCCTTTGTTATTGGTACCCCGTCTACTCCCCTTTTCCTCCATGTCTTCTTCCCTGATGATAACAAAAGATGAATACCAGTCAGGTCGAGTACCTCTTATAATTACAGAAGTCAAACATGTCATCAATATTACTAATTTAATGCCATTTTTTTTTTGGCATTTTGGCATTTTGTAAGCTCTAGAAGTATAGTATGTTGTCTAAAGCACCAAGTAATTAATGTTTGCCCAAGTTAACACAAATTCAACAATTAAAACACTTTACACAGTGAGAGTATGCAATCATTTATTTTTGCATAAAGAGGTTGTCAGATTTGGGGAGGAGGGGCCACACAAGATCAGAGAAAACTGGATATATTGAAGAAAACTAACAGACAAGATTTGTCACTTAATAACTTCTTTAAAAAATGTTTTGGACTCATGTGAATATATTACCTGTTTTAAACATTTATAACATTAAGTGGGCGATTTGCAATCAGTATGAGACAAACATGTAAAACTACAAATCCGTGATAGAACAACTGGACTGAAATTGCTCTTGATTTTATTATGTACCTTGAAGATTTAAAGTCAGAATCTGAGAATGAGGAATCTCAAATTAGATTAGATTTTCATCTAACTGATGCAAATTGATGCTTGATTTCACATTTACTTCATAACTTTTTCAGACAAAAAGTTATGTGTTCATTGAGAAAATTAGAATATATCAAAAAGTACAAAGAAAATAAAAATCACCTGCAATTACATCACTAAGGGTTAAAAAAAAAGCATTGGTGTATATACTTCTGGTCTAAGTAATACCTTTATGTTACATGTATGTGGTTTAAAGCCAACAGTGACTATGAATTTCTAAATCCAGGAGAAATAACAATTCCTAATTTCCATATAGGGATAAGGTTAGGCATTTCCTGGGCATTCTCCCTCACCCCAACCCTATGGAATGGGTAGACATTTCCACCACTGAATAAGGAAGGTAGCTGAAGATCTAAAAACTTATTACCATCCCAGAGGCTCATAGCTATTACGTAGTAAAACCAACTTTAAAACCTGATCTATCATAAAACTCTGGGTTTTTCTCATACCATAATGCTGCTCCACCACCGACTTTTTAAAAAAACATGGTGTACAAAACCCTTGTATGACTAGACTGTGCTATTACCTTGCATCAGATGACTCGTTTAAGCCCACAACAGCCTTTGAAAGGAGACATTTGTGTTTGAGAATACTGGCACAGAGAAGCCACAAAACCTGCTCCAGATCACACAGCCAGACTGTTGGAGTTCAAAAGTGAGTCCACAGTCCCGCCTCACCACTGCAGCGAACTGCATCGCAGCCTTCCCTGGGAGTTTTCATGGAAGCTCTTTCACAGGAAAGAATAAATTTAAAGCTGAGTGGGAAACTCAATGTTAGAGTAATGTCATAAAGGCAGGAATCATCTACACACTATTCCTTGTACCTGTCACTGCTTGAAACTATCGGATCCACGGTCTGATTCACTTGTTTATGTTTTCAGCGCCCTATAAAGCTGCTTCAGTGAAAACAATGGCAGACGTCCCTATAGCTTGCTCCTGTGACTTACTACATGACAGTCCTAACACCACCTAATTTATGGACGAGTTTCTAAAGCATCTTCTCTGGAAAGATGGTCAGTGATTCTAGCAGGGTGATTTTTAACTATAGCCCAGCTGGCAAAGTACTAGCTCGTCTGCTCTCTTCCCTCAACCTAGAGGCAACATTTTCAAATACAGCAACTAGTGGTTTCCCAACAGGGGCAAAATGGCATTTTGAACAAAACAAGTCTTAGGTGTGAAGAATAATCCTGTAAACGTATGACCTACCACCTACACATAAACAAAAACACTCCCATACTTTTTCAAATGCCCATTCAGGAGATGACACAGAACCCGGGCTGAAGCATGCCCAGGACTGACCGGGTCACTCGCTAACACCGAGGCAGGCCTGTTCCTGTTCCTACCACTTTGAGAGAGAAGGGGGGTTTGTTTGTGAAAACCATCACTTACCAGCTAGTTCTGGGAAACCTGCACGGCCGAGCTCTTCATGCAGGTGCTTGGCCGGGTCAGCCTGCGTCATCAGGGCCCCGTGCAGCCAGATGAGCAGAGCCCGGTGGCCGTGTTCGCGGAAGCTTTCAGCTCCTGTGCCAAGCACAAGAGGTCCAAGGTGAAACCCCATGAGCTGATGATGTCTCCTTCTATTATCATCCCCATTCCAACTAGACTTTCCATCTGGCTGTGGCTGCACGTCCATTCCTCTTCTGCTAACGCAAGCCCTCCCAGTGGCCCTCACTGTGCCACCATACCGTGACCACCATGTGGATTCCCTCCGGCCTTGCCCTGCACCTGCGGTGGTTGGCACACACCCAAAGAAGTGTGTGGACAGGAATCTGGACAACCTTCACCGCTGGGGAGCTTTCCTTCAGTGTGGGCAGCGCTACCTTAGAGCCGCACTTCTCAGACCCACTGCAAATTCTACCTGGGCGTCTTGTTAGAATGCAGATTCTGATTCACTAGGCATAGGCTGAGAACCTGCATAGCCGACAAGCACCTGGGCGCTGCTGCTGCTGGGCCGTGAACCACACTCGGGTCAGCAAGTATGTACCTTACCGCCACTGCAGCTTCAAGAAAAGTGCTCTGATAGAAGTCTGCATCTCTGTGTCAGGATTACTCATTGAATACCAGACACCTAACCCAGAGAGATGATGGGGAAGCCACTGTCACTCCCAAGGGGAGTTGACAGTTCCTGACACAGCACAGGCTCCTTGCTCTAAGGAGAGTGTGCAGGAGTAGATGGGCGCTATGAAAGGAGGGCCAGACCTCTGGGGAGAAAGGTCCCTGGACAGACTGTTCACAAGGGCAGGCATGTCAGGGAGAAGGAACTGCATGCAGGGACTACACTCCTGTCCTTGCTCTTGACAAACTGTTTTTTCTTAAATACCATCATCAATGGTCACTCTTTTCAGAAGCCCCCAAGCCCCCTCGTGCTGAGAGCCTTACCCTGGATTAGAATTGAATTGTGAATGTTATTGTTATCATGCCAACTAGATTATAAACTCCGTCAAACATGTGTGACTTGGAAAGCTGATGAATCCCTCATCTGACAGATATAAACATGCTCCAGGCCCTCCATAAAGGTTCCACTGATTTTGCAGTTTTTGGTCAGGGCTGGTTTTGAACCTGCCACCTCCAGTATATTGGGCCGGCGCCCTACTCCTTTAAGCCACAGGCACCGCCCACCACTGAAACACTCTAAAAGCCCTCTTATCCCCCTGGCAAGTACTCTGAAGACACACTATATTTTTGAGGTATTTCTTTGTTTTTAAAACGAAGAAAGTCAAAAGAGAGTTCCAGAAGGCTATAAAAGACTTCACAGAACACCACACGCCTAAATGGCAACAAAGGAAAAATCTTTTTTTTTTTTTTTTTTTAAGAGACAGTCTCACTTTACTGCCCTCGGTAGAGTGCTGTGCCCACTGAGCCACAGGCGCCACCCAACAAAGGAAAAATCTTAACAAAAAATAAATCTTTTCAGAAAACAATCAATAGTCAATGTTTCAAATACATGATCTTCCATTTCTTCACATAAAAATGTATCCTTGGAATTAGCAATGAAAAGCTCCATAATTTACTTGCCTATGGTATAAGTGACATGCCCATAGGACTGTGGTCCTGCCATCTACAATTCTTAGCAATCATTAATGCAAATCACCCCAAGCATGGGACACCTTCCCTTCTCACAATATTAATGTAAGGGGGGGCTCTGAATAGAAAACTTTGCCAAGAAAAGCATTTGCTTCTGTATTTTTACAGCTAATTTAGTTGCTTAATGCCAAGCAAACGTCCTGTATTTGCTAGGTTTTGGTCAAAGCATAAAAAAGCAAAGCTAAGGAGTCTAGCTGATCTAACCTCACCAATCATGACAGCTCAAGTCTGGCTGAAATGATTCTATTCCTTGGAATCATCTAGACAAGAGAGATCCCATCCATCTCTCATGGGACAGCCAAGTCTTCCCCAAGGCCATGTCCTCCCCCTTCCCTCAGCCACCTGGTTTAAGGGGCTCTTCTTCCTGGAGTGGAAACTCTCAACAGTGAGACTTATGATTAAAGAATAAACCCATTCACCCAATCACAATGAACAGCAGAAACCAGACTGGCCTCCCAGTGATCTATCAATATTAACTCCTTGCCTTCCTAGAGCCCATTCAGTTGGGAATCTTCTTTTTACACTAAATACCACCTTTTAGATATGACTCAAGAAAAGTAATCATCCTTTGCAAACTTCAGTTTACTGCCAGTTCCCTTGAGTGTTAGCTTTAGTACAAAGTTCCCAACCACCCATGTGGCCTAAGGTAGCTGTCCCCATTCCCAGGGCTCTTGGAGTCTGCTGTTTATTATGAGCACCAGCCACTTACTTAGAGCTCATAACAGGAGTGACTGTTGTCCTGACACTGAATGCCTCCAGCCCGCATCATCTCAGCTTTACTCACCTGACCACTGGGCCTCAATAGCTCTGATCTGGTCATCTGTAAAGTTCCATGCATGTGCCAGCCTCTGCCACTCATTGGCCTTCAGCTGATGGTAAGCCAGCTTCCAGAGGAGCGTGCGAATGTGCCTGGTCTCCAGACTGTGATCTTGCTTGAACATGAGAGTAAAGCCTATTGATGCGTCCCTGACACTCTCACAATGCTCCTAAGTTGAAAATAATTGTATCAGATAATGTCAGACATGTTCCACTTACTGCCTTATTTCAGAGTGTATATAATTTTTAGATATAACTGGTAAAGTGGTAACCGAGACTGTGTTTTCAATCTCATCTGTCCTCTATCATTTTTTTGTTATCTAAGACGGAGACAAATGTCTGAAATGAAAAGCTGGAGTGCTGTGTGTCTGACACAGGATATGTGAGGGATTTTGCAGTGTGGCGCCCTGTGCTGCTGACAGAGAACGGAGGGGTTGCCTTAGGGAAGGAAAGGTCATGACAGCAAACACATCTTTAATGGCCTTTCTTTGAACCCATGTTTCATTTTCTTATTTTGGGTCTTTGATTTTCTCTTAGTAAAGCCTTGGCGGGTCCCAGGTTGGCTGTATTCTTAATACGACCCCATAGCTTGGCCCTTGATTGGTCCTGCTCTCTGGAGAGTGTGAAGAGAGAAAACTAGAAGCCTGATAGGGTGTGGGCTGGGGAAGAGGTGGCCGGGGGAGTGGAGAGACACTGCAGCCAGGCTCAGCCCCACCGCACTAGATCTACACTGGTGTCTTGTTTTTTGGTTTTTCAGTTTCCATTTATCCTTTCTGCAGAATTAAACCAAAAAACTGCAGGAAAATCTCCCTGCCTTCCTAGAAAGACATGCCATGCTGTGCCCACAGGGCTCCAGAAAGTTCTTCTACAGAAGGCCACAAATCAGTTAAGGACACGTAGGACACGGGGCCGGCCAGGAGGTTTAGGATTCCTATTTTTTTTGTGGATAGCAACTTCTATTTTTGTCTTGCACCTAAATGAAAATGAATTTTAATGAAAGACCTTCTGAATAAGATCTAAGCCAATGCTGGGGCAAGAAATGGATCAAAAGAGTATAGGGCCCCAGTTTTCAAAACCTATATGAAGAACATGGTGGCGTTTGCTCCTCAGCACCCAGCCTGGGTCACCTGCACCCTTCACAGCACCGGCAGCCTCCCCTGGGAAGCTCTGCAAGGGCAGCTGTGCTCCTGCTGGGAAGCTGGACCAAGGAGAAGGGCAAGACCTTTCTCTTGGATCTGGGCTTTGAGTACAAAAGTTAGAATGGAAGGTGTGGACTACTTGTAAATGTTCTAGGGACCATGAAAGGCAAGATCTGCTCACTCCTGGCCTCAGCCCTCCTTCCGTAATGCCTCTCTCTCAGGAATCCCACAAAAAGGAAGGTGGGGGAAGCCAGCAAACTAGGGAGCCATCCATCTCCCGAAACAACGATGAACTCAACAAAATCCAAACCCAAACACCACAAGGTAAAGAGAAGAATACACAGAGTGCTCCCACACTGGTCTTTGTGCTATAGCATTTTTATTTTTAGGGAAATGGGCATGCTTTATGTATTTTGGACTGACTGGATGGTCCCCTTCAGGTTTCCACAGCAAAGGGCAGGGAATTCGGAAAGCCCAGGTCTTTTTCAGAAGTCAGCAAAAACATTAAATAGCTTATCTGCCAAAGCACTGAGCTATTTGTAAGAGAAACATGAGCCAGAATTAGTGGAAATTAAAATAACATAAGCCAAATTGTAGGAAGCTCCCATTTGCCTCTGAATTACTGAATTTAATGATGGGTGATTGGGTGATTAGGTCAAAATATAGTGTAAGAGAGGAAATTCAAATCACGTCTTCTATCTCTACATTAGGACCCATTGTATGTCAGGCCAGAATATAAACTTGTTTAATGAACTAAGAGGATTTAAAATAATAATACATGCATTTGGCCAAAAAAAAAAAAAAGGACATTTTAAGAAACAGGATATATTAAATATATTAGGATGTTTTAAATATATTTAAAATATATTAAGGATATTTTTAAAAACGGGATATGTTAAAAAAAACAAGTCTGTCTCCCACCCCAGACCTCAGGAACAGGGGTTAACGATCCTTACTATTTCTGGGGGTCTCCTTCAGTTATATTTATGTCTAACTTATGGTTTTCAAAGTTTATCTAACTCTTAACATCTTAAAGATTTGTAAGGAGAGAGGGTTTATTCATTTGGTAGAAAAGTAATTTATTCTCATCTAGCAAAAAGAATCTAAACATGCCACCAGGCATTAAAAATAGAACCAAAGAATATATCTGTTTCCAAAGGAAATGTGAAAATAAGAATTCAAACAGAAAAGGTGGAACTTGGTAAATTTGTCTTTAGTAAGATACAGTGATGATTTGAGAAAATGAGCATTAGGATAGAAAAAGAGGAAGAGGAAAGGGGAGGAGACCGAGGAACGATAATAGAAATAAGAGGAAGGGAGGAGATGAAACAGAAAATGTGAATTTTTTTTTAAATTTGGGTTTGTTTTTTTTAACAGGCAAAATAGTGTTATTGTTGTTGTTTTTTTAATTTATTTTATAGGCAAGAAAAGTTGCAAGGAGGATGGTGTGACCTTTAAAAGGATCCCTATATATCAAGGCTACTAAGCCAATTAATAACCAGGATTGTGAGAGAAAAGACGAGGAATAAATGCTTTTTGCTTTAAAGATGTAAGGGACCTATCCCAGGATTGGTCATGTGGGCAGCAGTCCAGGTTCATAGCTTTTAGGAGTTGACACCTTAGTGATCAAGACCTGAATTCTACAGCTAACACCCTGGACCACCATACTGGGCAGCCTGGGATGGAAACAACACCTCACTTTGTGTTGAGGGTCGTGTCTGGTAATGACGTTCTTGCCCGAGGCTATACACTTGACTTTTGGAGGGGAGGGCAGTCAACTGAGAAGCTGCATGAGTGGCAGATATCAGAGGAAAGAAAGAACAACAAAAATAATGACTTAAAAGATTTTTTTTTTTTTGAGACAGAACCTCAAGCTGTTGCTCTGGGTAGAGTGCTGTCGCATTACAGCTCACAGCAACCTCCAACTCCTGGGCTCAAGCGAGTCTCCTGCCTCCGCCTCCCAAGTAGTTGGGACTACAGCCCGGCTATTTTTGGTTGCAGCCATCATTGTTGTTGGGCGGGTCTCCAGGCTGGATTCGAACTGCCAGCTCAGGTGTATGTGGCTGGCGCCTTAGCTGCTTGAGCCACCGGCGCCGAGCCAAAAGATTTTTTTTGTGTTCTCAGATAAGTAAGGTTATCTCCAACTGTCACAGAATGCTTGAAAGCCAAAGAGCCAGAATTGAAAACTGCAGGGCCATAAAAGTTTTTGTTTTTGTTTTTGTTTTTGTTTTTGTTTTTGTTTTTGCCACTCATTAGAGCTTCTGAAAATAGCCCATGGCCAGATTGTGGACAGAGGGCATAGCCAGGGTGTCCGCCATCAGGAGCTTGCACGTCAGGCCAGTTAGAGCCTGCAGACAAGGCTGTTGGCCCAGTGAATCTCTGCACCCTCAGCAGTGCTGGTGGAGAAAGACCTTGGCAGCTGTTCATTCATTAACGGGGCAGTGCAGGACAGAAGGGACAGCTGTAACTGTACTCACCAGGGCTCTGCCCATTAAAGCACAAGGAAAGAATTGCACAAACCCTGCATTCCCCATAAGAAGATGGGGGTTACCAGAAGAGCCCTCACTGTGTTGGGGTCAGGCTTCCTCACCTCTTTCCAGGCGTAATACCTCTCTGCTTTAATGAGCATGTCCATGACAAGGCTGTGGTTGCTCCTGGAGGCCACGGCCAGGGCAGTCCTTCCTTGCTGAAAGTTAAAGAAACTATTAGGCGATATGATATAGTGGTTAGAAACTGTAGCTTTAGAACAAGGGGCCTGGGCTCAAATCCTAATATTACCCCCCCAACACATACACACACACCCCTCCCCCATTCTCCCTGCTGAGTAAATTAGGGCCGGTCCTAGCTTCTTTGGGTATTTTTTTTTTTTTTTTGAGATAGAGTCTCACTCTGTTGCCCTGGGTAGAGTGCTATGGTGTCATAGCTCACAGCAACCTCAGACTCTTGGGCTCAAAAGATCTTCCTGCCTCAGCCTTTTGAGTAGCTGAGACTATAGGCCCCTGCCACAACACCCAGCTAATTTTTTTTTTGTATTTTTGGTAGAGACAGGGTCTTGCTCTTGCTCAGGCTGGTCTCCACCTCCTGAGCTCAGGCAGTCCATCTGCCTTGTCCTCCCAGAGTGCTAGGATTACAGTGCCCACTGCTGCTTTGGTCTTAACATCAGCCCCACCGTATGTGGTGAGGGGTAAATGTGAGAATATACATAAGGCCCTTAGAATATGCGCCACCTGAGCGTGTCCCAGCCTCCCTTGCTATCAAGTACACGGTCTAAGTTCTGGCCAATGGTGTACAAATGGAAGCGTCACATAGAACATGCAACTTCTGAGAAGTATTTTTAAAGAGAAGGGTGGACTGCATTCTCCTTCCTTCCTCCTCCTTCTGAGTGGAATGTCGCTGTGATGGCAGTTTTAACAGCCACTTCAGACCAGAAGTGAGAGACATGTTTTGTGGATGGTAAAGTAATAAGGCAGAAAAGGGATAGATCTTATTAAAAACAATATCAATAATTACAACACTGGTAATTCATAGTGTAGTATTCAGCTCACTGGACTCCTACTAAGATTTTTTTTTCTATTATACCACACTGCCTCTAACCAAAGGTGAGGGTTTCAAATCTTAACCAAATGGAGTGAGTGACCAGGGCTGTTCTGGACATAATTTTGGCAATGAGCTACCGTGTCTTATATGGATTATGAGAAGGTGAACTTTTCTCAAGATGCATAGGACGCAAAGGCAGGCACACAGCTTTGCAAGCAGCATCCCCTAGGCTTCATTCAGTGCACAATTTCTACATCTAAGCATTCTTCCCTGAGCAAAGGTTGGTGGTTCTCATCTGCCTTTCAAATGACCCATGCAGAATTTGTGCAGGGACCCTGAAAATAATCAAAATTAATGGTCAGAAATAACCCCCAAGGAAGTTCCAACCTTAGGAACTTGTGTTTCTACCCTATGGATTCAGAAATGTATCCCAAGAATTCTCTTACATGGCTAGATATTTACAACAAGTGCAATTCCCACCAACACAAATGATTCAGTTATAAGTCTAGGCACTAAGACCAGGTGAGCTGGAAAATTAGGCATGAAAGTAATCAGCCTCTAATCAAAAGAGACAGTAATGAAATTAGGAAGAACTGCATTTTTCAGGCATTTAGCAAGTCTTTAATTGTATGCTGTCTAAATTCTGGCTTTAAAGCCTTTTGAATCACCATAATTAGCCTATTCTGGGAAAATAGTATTCTGAGAGGCAGAGTTTTCAAGCTCCTGAGAAAATCTTGGCAGGGAGTGGAGGCAGGGTGCAAGTGCAAGCACTTCTGCCCTTGGAGACGGGGGAGCCTGAGGCAGGGTGGGCAAAAGGCCCTCGGGGAGCTTTGTGATGCCTCAGGCTGACAGGACAGGCTTCTGGGAAAGCAAAACTTACACCAAACGTTGGGTTTTGTTTTTTTTTTTCTTCCTGTGCAGACCCTAGCGAGGTCTTAGAAACACTTAGATTTGTAAAAATCATTAAGAGCTGGCAGAAAAGGTAGTTTTTATTCATTAATTAAATATGTATTGGCTGCCAACTATGTGCCAGACCTCGAAAACAAAGAAGGAAAATCTGGGAACATCACATTGTGAAGCCTCGTGAACTGTGGGCTTCTGCTCTGACAACCAAATCAAGTGGTTGCAATGTCCAATCCACTAGTATCAGGGTCCCCAACACAAAAGCTTGTCCAATGCTCTAGATTCTCTGCTCACAAAATTGCCTTGGAGGTGTTAAGTATTAATGACAAAGCAGAACAAATTATAAAAGGAAAGCCCAGGGAAAAGACTAGCACTAAATGTTACCCAAGTTCCCCAGGCACAACTGGTGAAAGGGTGGAATTCCGCCCAAGCGATGGCACTGTGGGTGGCCGTGTTTTCCTTCTTTATGCTTTTCTGTTTTCCAAACCATACACAGTGAGCTTGTATTACTCTTAGGATCAGGGAAAAAAGAGTTAATTTTAGAAACTGACGCACATAGAAAAATAAAATAACCTATCACGACTTTAGATCCTACACACGTAGATGCATGATTCTCAACTAGAAGAGAGTGGCCTTAGGCTTGTACTGTGGATTAGGTGCCGGCCTGGGAGCCAAGACAAGGACTGGGAAACTGCAAGGTCTGGGGGGCCGTCCTCTGTGCCAACGGTTGTCAGGCAGTGCTGGACAACAGAGAAGTCACTACTTGGGTTGAAAGCCAACTCCGCCTCTTACTATGTGTGTGACCCGATGTCATCCAGATCGCTCCGATCTTTTCTTGAAAATGAGTAATTCTGTTCACCTCACAGAGACATGAGTGCCTGGCAGGGCTGTCCCCCAGGAGCCTCCTTCTACACTTTTCAGAAAAGCTAGAACCTCACGTGGCTCTCTGAAAACCTCTGGTGGCTCAGCCTGATTACCACACCACTTGAAAGACACAAAATTGCCTTTCTTTAAAAACAAGTTTACAACAACCAAAAGGTGGAAGCAACCCAAACATCCATAGACAGATGAATGAATAAACAAAATGTGGTACATAAAAACAATGGAAGGGTATTCAGCCCTAAAAGGGAATAATGGCTCTGTGCCTAGGGCTCAAGTGGCTAAGGCACAAGCCACATATACCTTAGGTTGCAGGTTCGAATCCAGCCTGGGCCCGCCAAACAACAATGATGGCTGCAACCAAAAAATAGCCAGGCAGTGTGGCAGGTGCCTGTGGTCCCAGCTACTTGGGAGGCTGAGGCAAGAGACTCGCTTAAGCCCAGGAGTTGGAGGTTGCTGT